ATTATCAAGACCTGGATATCCTGATATAACTTAGACCACCCTGCGCTCCAGAGGCGACAGCTCTACGCATTCCGCTTCGGCATCCCACTGCCTTTGGCAGCAGAGTGCCTCGGCGAGTTGACGAGCTCCGCCTGGAGGACGCAAGCTGCCGGATTCGTGGTTCGGGATGACGGTTTAGGGCATTGGGTATAGGGTTTAAGGGTGTGGGGTTTATGTCGTAGGGTAGAGGGTTCAGGCTTTAATAGGTGTGGGGTTTAGGGCTTAGCGTAGCGGGTTTCGGGGTTTAGGATTTTCAAGGGTATTTCGGAGTCCCTGAGTCTGCTCACAGATGCCAAGCCCCTTGGCAAACTCATTGCTAGACTCGCTGGACTGCCGTGGGGCTTGGAGTTTAGGGGTCTGACTACCCGTGCTCAACTTGAGACAACCCACATAAGCTTCATCCATTCCCAGGCGAGGTGCTTCGACAAGGTCTGCCAGAGCAGGGGCTCCTAACAAGTAGCATCAACATGCGTGTTCGCTGTGCTGTAGAAATCTCTCTACTCGGCCGTTTTCTTGAACCCAGGCTCTGATCATGAACTCTAAACCCTACACCCCGAAACCCTCAAACCCTTACCCTGAACCCTAAACCCTAAACCCTAAAACCCTTGAAACCTGAAACCCGAAACCCTACACCCCTGAACCCTCAAACCCTAAAACCCTGAATTCCCACAGTCCCGAGCTCATCCCGGAGGCGCCTCTTCGGCCGCGCTAGGACATGATGGGCTTCCTTCTCTCGCTGGTCACCCTGGCCTGGGGCAAGCGGGAAGCAGAGTGGTTTCGGGCAAAAGGGCTTCAGACAGATGTTCCGGGCAGCATAAAACTCGAGATGCATTCTGCGACATTGCGCAGTGCCCGTTTGCGTAGGCGTTGAGAGGAAGCCCTAAAGCCGAAACCCAGCAGTCCTGAAATTCTGACCTTCAATTCGCAACCCATATTCACGAGGTCAATGAAGCTCCCTAATGTACAGTATAGGAGTCAGTATAAGTCGTCCATCACACAGAAAATTGGAGCCTTGTAATCCCAAGCCCACCCTAAACCCTATAAACCCTAGACCCTAAACCCTAACAAACCCTAACAAACCCCTAAGCCCTGAACCTAAAATCCCAGGCCAAATCCTGAACCCTGAAACCCTGGCCCCGAGGGTCACACAAGGATCACCGAGCGCCGCGCCACGATCTTCGCAGCGTCATCAGGCGAAGTCTCGGCATCGGATAGAATAACTGGTATATGGGAGTTTCCGAAAACAAGGGGTACCTTATTTTGGGGTCCTTATAATGAGGATCCTACTATTTAGAATATTATAGGGTTCCCTATTTTCGGAAACACCCATATAGGATGTTGAGTACTTACAGTTTCAGGGATTTTATATGAGTTGTATAGTCTCGTGGGGCTCTGTACGGCTGTTACGGCTCTTGTAGGGTCGACATTTATCGGGTTGAATGGCTGCTGGGAGAAATGTCTAAGCACCACCACTGAGTGTGTGTTGGAGTGTCCCTGTGGGATATCAATATATGAGCCCTGCTTCATATCATGTTGCATAGTAACCGTAAACCCACTCCCCGCAACCCAGTATCCAAACCCCCAGTCCTGCACCGTCCACTGTAATCCGTGGAGACCCACCCCAGAGCCCTGAAGCCGTAAAGCCTTACAACATTACGGGTTCAGGGTTTCGGGGTTTAGGGGTTTACGCTCTCACAACTCGGACTAGCCAGGCGAGGATTCATAGGTGCGAGTCGGCGCGATACAGATTGCTGCAAGCCCAGGCCACCACTGACCGCAACTAACGGGTTTTAGGGTTAATTCCGAAGACCATCTTAGAAGACTGGACCGTGCAGTATCCCAAACCCCAAACGGGCCCCGCAGACTCTAATTCCACTCGCAAAAGTCCCGCCACTGTGCTATACTTTACGACACTCCACTATACTCTACTTTTCTATACTATACTGTCCTGTACTAGACCATGCTATGATATACAAGACTAAGACGGGCCTAAGCCCTAAACCCTCGTGACTTATACTAGATTCCAGCAGTTGCACTGAGGCTGGATCCAGGCTCTTCCGCGAGCCCATGAAGGAGAGGATCTTGAACTTCGACGCTTCCTCCTGGAAGTTGCGGCTTAGGCTTTTAGGGATTTAAAGGTTTATATGGGGCCTATGGGGCTTTTAAGGGGTTCAGGGTTTAGGCTTGGGTTTTTTGGGGTTTGGGGGTTGACGTTTCGGCGGAATTTTTCCCACCCACCCTGGTCAAAAGGTTCGTTTTCACACTCACACTCGGACAAGCCGCAGCTGCAGACAAATTGACACAGGCCGATCCGCTGTCAACTGAAGCTGAAGAAATGCACCGGAACAACGATCACCCAAAAAGACAGCCACCAAAACGGCTGAGGGTTTAGTTTTTCGGTTTCAGGGTTATAGAGGGTGCCTTGGAAGCCTCAGAAGGCTTGAGCAGCATTTTGTAAGGCCCCTTTAGGGCTTTAAGAAGACTTCTGCACGGCGCCCCAAGGGTGCTGAGAAAGCTTTTAGCAGATTTGTTTTTTTTGTGGGGTCGTATGGGGTTGGGGTTAGGATTGGGTTTAGGATTTAGGGTTTAAGGGGTTCTCTTATGATACCCTATGAGGGCAGGCGAAGCAAGGTGTACTACCATGCTATCAAAGACGACTAAGAAGCAATGTAACAACCCACCACACCACCAGTCAACATAGGCGGCTGTATAAAGTCCCATACAAATGAAGTTCGCCGGTATAGGAACAACATGATCAACAACCCTGAACCCCAAATCCTAACAAACCAAAAGCCTTTCCACAAACAAATAGGGTTGGGTTGGTTCAAGGGACCCTAAACTCTCAAGCCTATCTACAAGCCGTCAAGGTGTCCCTAAACAGAAGACTCCGAAGCTCTAAACCCCTAAACCCTAAACCCTAAACCCCAAACCCTAAACCCTTAGATTTCTCCTGCGCTTGGAAGTGGTTCGTCAAAGCAGCGACAATCTCTCGCCGCTCCACATCCTGTCAGCATCGTCTCATCGGAAGGCTCCGTCTGGTGCTTAGGGAATGGGTTATAGGGACTACTATAAGGGAGTTTCCGAATATAGGGGGTACCTTATTTTGGGGTCCGTATAATAAGGATCCTACTATTTAGGGTACTATCCTAGGTCCCCTATTTTCGGAAACCCCCATAAGGGACCTAAAGGGACTGTCATAGGGATCCATTCCCCCATATTCCCTACTAAGCACTAAGCACCAGACAGAAGGGGCCCATGAGGTTTCCGTCAAGGGGTTTAGGGTTTAGGGGTCTAGGGTTTTTTTCGGCTTTTAGGGTTTAGGGTTTAGGGGGTTTAGGGGTTTAGGGTGTTTCGGGTTTGGGGTTTTTAGGGCCTGGGCCCAAGGGCTTAAAACTCGGAGCAATCATCCGGTGACGAACCTTGAGCCCGGAGCCCTGAATCCAAACGAGCACGGTCCCTAGATCACAGGACGCAGCCAAACTGGCGACCAATGTAGACGGGCGGGCTCCTTTTCTGGTCATAAAGTTCGCATCAATGAGGATCCGTGCTACGGTAATCCTTACAGCGGGCAGGGGTCCGTTACAGTACTGTCTGAAACTCCCATGTATGGGTTGAAGGTAGCAAGGCTTAGTGACTAACCCCCACCCCATTGAACCGTAAGCCCCCATGCACCAGGCGATGCTTGCCCTGAATATAACCAGCTGATTATAACACGCCAGCGCAGCAAACCCTAAACCCCCCTAAACCCTAAACCCTCTCTCTCTCTCTCTATATATATATATACACATACATATACATAGCACGATGCAAGTGAGCTTCCGAAAGATGCCTCGAACCCGAAGCCCTCAGAGAGCCGCTATAAGCAACCCTGTGCTGGACCTGCAGTAGACTTCCCAAGAGGGCGCCGTTGGGGCCGGGTAGTAGTTGCTTAATGCAGGGGCCTGAAAAATCAGAATTTCGAGCTTTGTGATCTGTTGCTTCATTTCATGGGCTTCCTGAACCCCGCAGACCGTCAGAGCCCTAAAAATCCTAAACCCTAAACCCTAAATTCTAAACCCTAAAACCTTAAATCTTAAACCCTGAAGCTGCTAAGCTCCTGAAAGTTTAACCCCTCGACCCCTACAAGCCCTGAGCTCTAAAGCCTAACCCCTCAGCTTCTATCTACTGTAGGGGTCTAAATAATTACCTATACTATTTGGGCTCCTTCTTATAACCATAGTATAATGGGCCCCAAAACCCTATTCTAATCCTTCAGGCCCCTATATTACATCCCTAAACTCACAGACCCTAGGCACTGCGCTCGAATTCTGGCATCCCTCAGAGAGCTTCGTGTCTTGTTTTCGTCCTCAGGTCTGCTCCGAACTCCGGGACATGTCGGCTCGCAGGAGGTCACTCTCACCTTCCAGGCCCTTTGCCTTGGGTTTAAGGTTTAATCATAGGGTCTTTAGGGTTACGTTCTTTGCCATTCTGCATATGATGGTACTATGTGGTACTTAGGCTGTAAGCATTAAACTAGGGGCTGAATCCGGATTCAGAGGGTTCTTCTTAAGTTAGGAACACGTGTACTTTCATACTAAGACTGCGGGCTACATAAGCTTCAGGGTTCATCTGGGGGCGCTGGGGGGAGCTGTTCGGGGGCTTGCTAGGGGTGCATACAAGCCTTGATTCTGGCAAAAGGGTTCTCTATAGGGTGTTATAGGGAATAGGGGCCTTATCAGGTAGAAAAAGGAACCTTCACGACTAGACTGGGATGTCGGGCTTATACACAGGGGCCACAGTTGGATACTATCGCTTCTTCTTGAGACCTCTAGATCAAGGGTGTATGAGTGTGGGGTATATGATATGTATCGTTTTGTGTTGAGGCATCCAACTTAGAAACACCGTGTCTGCTGTACAGGTTGGGATTTGCATGCACTACCATGAAACGGAGGCAGATGCTTTTCCAACGGGAACCAAGTGGCGCGGATTAAGCTGCAGGCCAACGACGAAGGGGCACAGAGGCAGCATGCTGCGAGGAATCCACATTGTACCAGCCCACAAGTGCCCTCGGGGGATTCCTGACGCTTCCAAGCCACCTGTACCGCAGAGACCCCAACAGCTGCGCAGGTAAGCACGGCTAGGACACGCAAGCCCGCGCTGGACCAAATCAGCACATCCCCCGCTTCGCCATCCTTCCATGTGGCCAATATCCAGCGGCATTCGTTCGCAACCAGTGACAGCGGTAGCAGTGGTAGCACCATACATGTCGCCTCTGCGGCAGCGGACATTCGACAAGGATATTATAATAACAGTAAGAGCATGTAATAGCAACAATAGTAGCAGTAATAATGCTAATTATGGTGGAAATAGGCCTTGCAATGGGCTTCACAACACACCCTGGCAACATCCAAAGGCGCCGGTTCTCCAACCTGCCTGGCCTTGCGGTGTTGCTTGAGCCCCAATTGATCCCATAATCAAGCTTCAAACTCCCGAATCCCTCCCCCCCCCCTGCCGGATTTGAAGGGATCGTCCCCGGGAGTCCTAAGAAAACAAACAAGCTCCTAGTTCGGGTTCTAGCATTAAAACACATGACATGCTTGCTGTTCTTGCTATGGTTATGATTATTCATTTAGTTGAGTGTGATGTAAGAGCCCTTGACAAACGCGAAGGCCCCGAATGCCAGTCTTGGCATTGCGGCCAAGCGGCCGTAGCCAGGTCAAGTAAGAAACCTGGGGTTCAGGGTATTTAAGGTTTAGGGTTCAAGGTATTTAAGGTTCAGGCTTCAGGGTTTAGGGACAAACTGTCGGAATCCTTCAAACATTCTTGTTGCGGAGCGATCGGTAGGGGCTACGGCTACCAAATGGGGACTTCAAGTTTTCAGGCTCAAGGTCTTGATATGGGTAGTTCTCTAGATTCGGGTCCCTTGTTAGGTCCCCAACACAGTATGGCAGCCCTCTAAAAGGACCCTCAACGGGAGCCCCCCTGCCCCCCTTAAGGCCCCCAACTCGGAGAACTACCCCATTAGGGTTTAGGGTTTAGGGTTTAGGGTTTAGGGTTTAGGGTTTTGGGGAGGATCGTGGGGTTGAGTCCTCATAGGATTCATACTTTGAGGGCTGACTTAACATCTACTGCTTAGGTTCTATACGGCTAATTAAGATTCTAGCGGGGATTCTTTTTCAGAGCTTATAAGGAGTTTAAGGTCTGGGAAGGTTCGGGCACGAGGGGGGTTTAAGGCTTCAGTGAACTTTAGTGAGGTCTGTGGAAGGGCTCCACTACAAAGCTTCACCAGCATTCCGTGTTCTACGGGCCTTGCCGAAACCCCAAAAACAGCCTTTCCCAAGTAGAGTTCTGGTCGCACTTTGTGGGCGCGAAGGAGACCAGCAAGGTGAAGGCACAGCTGCTGAGATTCCTTTGCAGCGCTGGGCTCTTGAACCCTTGACCCCAACTTAAGCCTCAACCCCGAAATCCTAAATCCCAACAAAAAAACCCTAAATCCCAACCTCCAAACCCCCCGTTCACCGGGAGCTTATTCGCGCATGCTGAATCATGCAATGAAGCATTAGCCGGCCGAGAGATCATTGTAAGGCACTTCGAATTTTTCCTGCACGGGATCCGAACCCCTAGTCTGCCTGGAAATGGTTTGATTAAGATCATCATTTCGACCCTACACCCACAACTCCAACCACTGAAGACTAGGTCTCAACCTTACGGAGAAGCCTCGCCCCCGGAAGCCCTAAACCTCCAAACAAGACACCGATCCTATCAGTAGTAGCCGAACCACAGACCTGGACCGGAGCTTTGGGCGCATGGGGTGTTTCCCTCCCACTTAGGGTTCATGTAGGGTTTAAAACTTAGGGTTTAGGGGTTTAGGGTTTTTTTGCCTCCTACTTAGCAAGGACGGGGTTTAGGGTTTAGGGTGTAGGGTTTGGGGCTTAGGGTGTAGTGGCGAAGCCTCAAGCACTAATCAGATGAATTCTCGCTGTCAATTCTGGCCCTCAGGCACTAACATCATTGATTCTTGCTGTAACCAACATTATTCTGGTTCTTATCGCTTTTGGCAATATTGCTACAAACACAAAGACTATTGTCATTATGAGTACCATTACCATTATCATTCTTACTATTGTTGTTATCATCGTCGATTACTATTGGTACTAGTAGTAGTGTGATACAATATGATTTATCCGATGTATCCAAGCTTCACCAAAGCAGCACCGAGGAGGGCCAGAGACCCTTGCATCCAGCGCACCTTGCTTTTTGGGCGGATTTCCTTTGTGTCTTAGTGCACCAAAAGGTGCCGAAAATGGTTTACGGTTTAGGGTTTATATACGGTCTTGGACCAAAGGACCAACTCCAAAGCATAAGTTTGCTCTGGAGTCGTAAGGGTTTAGGCTTTGGGTTCGGGATTTGGGGAATTTAGGGTTTGTAGGGCAGTCTAGGCCATGCCCTAAGCCCAAAGCCCCGAACACCCACAGGACAAGGTGCCCCTGACTGGTTCCAGGGTGTGAGCCTCGCAGACCAGAACACAGCCAAGTCCATGAAGGTGAGCGCGCAGAGGAGGAAGCTCGTGATTGCCGTCAGGCAATACCTTGCAGCCCTCTTACTATGGCTACTATTGTATACATCACCCACGACCCGATCCTGGGTGGTAAGGCCCCCATATTGCTTTGAAAACTTTCTTCTGGCTCCGAGCCTTCAAACGGATACTTGGATTAAGAAGCTACGCCGGCTGCGCAGCAGTAGCGATGCCAATGGGGCCGAACAGAGCATCACAGCCAAGGTAATGCTTGTCCGAAGGAGCCACAACGAAAACGTGTGCTGGTAGAAGGGGCAGAACCGAACTCACAATAACAGCAACAAAGCAATCAACAATCAAAACAGGAAACCTCAGGAGCCCGCTCCCCGCTGAAACCGCTGTGACTCAGGCGCAGTGAAAGGTGGCCAGCTGTCTTAAGAATGCTCGACAGCTACGCAGCTACTAGGACAAGACCTCAATGGTGGCAGTTTAGACTTTAGGGTCGCCATCGGCTCTTGCAGCATCACACCACACACCATCTGCAACACTCACCACAATCAGAATTGTCATCATCACTACCAGCACCATCGTCACCACCTGCGGCATCACAAACCACATGGCAATCCCGACAAATCAGATTACTTTCGCCAGATCGAACTTCGCAGCGACAGCAGCCACGACCTCTGTTAGACAACCGCATCACAAAGATTCAAATTAGCAAACAGCGTCGCAAGTTGAGTGGGCAAGGGGAGGGGGGTGTCGAAGGAAAACAAGCGCCAGAGAGAGAGAGAGAGAGAGTGAGAGAGAGATGGAGATATGGCTCGATCTCCCTCCCTCCTTCCTTCCCTCCCTCCGTCCCTGCCTCCGAGCTAGACACAAGACCTACACAAACAAAGATCTGCAAACCGGTGCGAAGACAAACGTGACACAGACGAGGAGATGTGTACGGCTACATGGAGAGACTTGCCTCGTTGTCTTGCCGGAAGGTGCACCAGGAGTCTGCAACTAAAACAATGCTGAGGCAAGGGCGTGTGCTTCTCAATGCCGAGGGGTTTCGTGATGGGGGGGGTTTAGGATGGGTTTAAACTTAATTTTCTACCAACGCCAGGCAAACAAAAAAAAAACATACCAAAAGCACCGAAGATGCGTGGCCCAATTCATTTCTGCTTTCACACACTTGCAGGTTTCAGCCCCAGATGTCGGGACCCTGGTGCAGTAGCCACCGCCCTCGAGGCAGTCAGGCGGGCAGAAAGCATCAACGCCACAGCTCATCCTTGGCTCTCCAGCTTAGGATGATAATAAAACCAAGAATACTAACAAACGTAATCGTAATAACAAAAGAAGTAATAACATTAGCACCAATAATGAGAAACATTTCAGAATAGTTCATGATGCTTCATGATGCTTCCGGCTGCTCTGCTGGCTCTTGCTCACTCTTTCGTCGAGATGCCACAGCCCCGGAGCTGGCTTCCGCCCCTTCTTGTACCCCCAGACCCAGACCCTAGGGTTTAGGGTCTTTAAGGTCACCCTTTTTTTGAACCCAGGCTCTGCTCCGACTCAGAGTTCAGTAGCTGCTTCGTGTGCGGAGCACGGGTGTGGCCGGCTTCAGGTCACCCTAAACCCTAAACCTCTTTGTTTCTGAACCCAGACTCTGCTGATCAGCTGGGAAACAGCTCTGCGTGATTTCACACACACCGTACACCCCTAAAGCCCCAACTCCTTAAGCCCTAAACCCCTTAAACCCCTAGACGCTAAACCCTGCATTTAAGCCCTGAAGCCAGTAGGTCCAAGCATCATGGAGTCAAGGGGTATCTCAGCGCTCGCCTGGGGGATGGCCAAGAGGATCACCTTGCCCACCAGCATGCTTACCTGGGAGTTTCCGAAATTAGGGTGCCTTATTTTGGAGTCCTTATAATAGGGATCCTACTATTTAGGCTACTACATTAGGGTCCCCTATTTTCGGAAACCCCCACCTGAGTTCTCCAGGTTTTTCCTAGCTAAAAGAAACTACAGGTGGTGATTTTAGGGTATATACGGGCTTCTATAAGGCTTCCATAAGGTGTATAGACCTTCTATAAGGCTCCTGTAACGGTAACTACCCACATGAGTTGTCCAGGTTTCCTTAGAGGACTTGGCCTTTCCCTACTTCCCCAATATGCCAGGGATACCTTTCAGATTACTACTGAATTATAAGAACCCAAAAACTTTAAAGGTTGAGTATTGGAGAATTAAAGTGTTTTTTGTAAGTACCCTCACGATTCGAGTAGGACCTTGCTTCTGGTTTTTGACTCACGCTCGCAGAAGGGAGGCAAGGCTCTGCGACAAGCGTCCATGAGGGTTCGGTTTTGGGTGTTTGGAGTCGGAGGGGTGAGGGCGCAATTTCGACCACCAAGATGGTTATGCCGGTACTTGAAAAGGTTAGCAAGGTTGAGCGTACCTAAACCCAAAGCCCTGAACCCTCGACGACCAAGTCGCCTTCCACAGAACAGACCAACGGAAGTGTCGGTCCAGCCTCTTCGGGCAATGCAGCGCCTGGCTTAGTAAGTTATTCTACTGTAGTGTATTCTGTTGTATTAGATCATATCATAGTACATTGCATTGTTATGTACTGTTACGTAATATTATCGTCTATCGTATCCCTTGTCATTCATTCTATAATGGTATAGTGTATTACTTCGAGCGTTGCCACTACCTGTATTCTGGTCTTCTTCCGGAAAGAGCACTAAGACCAAAATGCCTCGGAAGCAAGAGCACAGAGCCCGGTGGCCATGCAAAGCAGTCCCAGGGAAATCACCACGGCCAGGAAGCATCTCCGTGGCGTCCGTCCTGGCTGGAGATACCTTATGGCGGTGCAGATCCCGAGCCACAAGGAGTTGAACCGTTCAGCTTGACTGGTGATCTCATGTGCCCGAACAATCTGCTATAAACAATCATCGAGATACTGGTACGAGCAGACCGTCGTAGAGATACAGGCGTTCGCCAGCAAGATACAGTGCCTGCCCGCCCAGCTTCTGCCAAATGCCCGCACCTGCCCGAAACACCTCGCACACTGCCATCTCTCAGCCGAAGAATAGGCCTGGGAACAGCAGCTTCGCCGAAGATTTTGTCGAGGCTCCCGGCTCCTCCTTTCGATATACAGAGAGTTCCTTTCCCAAGAGGCTCCCTGGCGTTCAGGGGCCTTTCTCTGAGATCTTGCGAGCTCCGCGGAAACCGCAGCCAAGACAGCACAGGAGCTCAGCAGGCTAAGGACCAAGAGCCAGGCATACTCTCCCTGATCCCATCCCAGGAGCGTTCGGAGGGGGTGCCCTTCTTCACGTGGCCTCTCCTTTGTCGGCCGAGTCATAGGCCAAAACTGCTTAAACTTTCAGTTAAAAAAAAAGAACACAGGCACATTGACAAAGTCTGCAAAGTCGGCTACTAAGCTTCTATACGGTCATGAAGAAGCATGAAGCTTGTGACCATGCTATGGCCCACGAGCAAAAGTAGCGGCCCCGATGTGCCTGGGGTTTAGGGTTTGGGGGCTCGAACCGAGAAGTCCAGGGTTCAGGGCAGAAGGGTTCTACGAGGTAAGGGCACTCTGCGGTTCTACGAAGAAGTTGCTTCAAGCAGAGCGAAGATGCCAGGTATTTCCGGTACTTGTGGGCGCTGTCGCCAAGTCCGGTGTTCGGCAGCGACTCCCGCTAGTCCAAGGAAAGCAAGCAGGGAGGCTATCCTGGGTTCTGGTTTAATGCTTCATTTTGAGTTACAAGAATAGGGATCTATGGCACACCGTGAGGTTTTCTTGCCCAGAAGGGCATAGTAAGTAAATAGCTGTACTTTCAGTAAATTTGCCAAAGAGAACCTGGAATCCACGAAGGCCCGCGGCAACTGCAAAGCACCCCTGCCAGGATCGGCAAGGCCGCACTGACAAAGGCCAAGAGCCAGAAGCCAACGAAGGGATGCTCCTTCTGAAACGCTCGTGCCTGCAGCAGTAATCAATCAAACTATGCAGCTGCTGTTCAAAATAATAAGACCTTCCGTCAGTCATGAGCTTACCAACCATGCCCAGATTTTCAGCGGCGAAAGCCGAAGATTACGAGAAGCTCCATGCCAGATCAACTGGCCTCCAGCCACCTTCCAAGACAGAGGAAGACAGTGCAAAGCAGGAACGTGATCGCCAGCGCCACTGCGACATCCTTGCCGACCCGGAAGTCGCAAAACTCCGACCCCTGCAAGGAGAGGAGATGTCCGGGGCAGGCATGGCACTGCCCGCGGCGACCATACCTGTTCAGGAAGTCTAGTCCTGAACACCACAGAACAACTACTTCCCCAATCCTAAATCCCCCAACAATCTTGGCACCCCCGAACCCTTCAGCTTCCATAAATCGTGCACACTCGAATCCATTCTTAGAGCTCTTCAAACACCCTTTATGAACTCCACAGAACCACTCAACACCTCTGTGCAACTCTGACAAGAACCCTACAAGCCCCTGATAAGCAACGTCCTTCTACTACCCTACAGAAACCCTGGAAGAAGCCCTTATGTCGGGTTTCAAGATGATTGCATCACTGAGTCAAGCCATGCTTGGAAGCAGCAAAACCCTCAGCCCAAGGGGCATCATGTCCGGACAGGGCCGCGGCCGGAAAATCATGGAGCCCGCGAGAAAGAAGTCCTTCCGTTTCACGGCTGAGGTTGTTGCAGGGGCTTCTACGGCTCTGATAAGGGTTTTCGAAGGATCCTTCTAACCCGAAACCCTAAAGTTAGGCCCTACAAGGGCCCATTCATGTGTTTGAAGGCGGTGTAGTTGACGCTCTCGCAACTCGGACAAGCCAAACGAGATCTCGCTTTTTCAGAGTCGGCTGACACGAGGCAAGTCGGGTCTGCAGCACTGCCGGGCTTCAGGGCTATTGTCACACGGGTTATACAGGAGACGTCATTGGGCTTTATTCGGGTAACGGTAGGAGGGTTGAATGAGGATTCCACGACACTCTCATAAGGCTTGTAAGGTCTGAACCCTAAACCCTAAACCCTCTTCGAAATGAGACGTGTCTATCAGAATTTTGGGATTGAAGGGTCTGAAGTCGCATCATACGGCTCGTCAGGTTCAGAGATTTCGGGCTTGACGGCTTTCGGGTATTATGAGGGTTCCAAGCGTGGGGCCCAATTGAGTCTCTACGTAGCGTTGAGGGCTTGCGGTTAGAAGAACACGGGGCTCAGTTTCTGCGTTTTTTTTTCCTGCTTTCAGGTTGTCAGCCCTACTTCGCGTTTAAGGTACAGGTGTTGTAAGCTTGCAAGCATTGCATAGTGTTCTTCAGGGGTTTAACATGCGCAGGCTTTAAGAGGCTTTTGCAGCTTATCCAGGCCTCTGGGGTTTCTCATGTCGGCGTTCGTGAGGCTTTGCAGGGTTGCGCTTGCGATTTTACGGTTCAGATATGAAATCGTACAAGGTGCTAGGACATGTGCTTTCCAAGTGCTGTACAGGGTTGACCAGTGGTTTACGGGAGCTGGGGGTTGTTCGGATTCTAGCGTTCAGCACCTTAAGCTTTCTGAATGTAAGCCTCCACACCTTCTTGGTTCGGGTCAGTGGTGGGCATTCCCCCAGCAAGAGCAAGGAAAGTAGTTTCTGCGCTTCCATCAAAAATTCAAGCTGCCTAGCCTACGATGCTTTGGACCCATCGAAATCGCGGTCCTAAAGCCCCAAACGCAGACGGTACACCCATGTCAATCGATGGTGCATCCGCTTGCCCCCGACGAGGCAGAACCCGGTAGTATATCTGGAATTAGACTGGATGGGTTCCTCATGGAAACTTCATATCATGCTCAGCAACATCAGGGCACCCCAGATTCTTTCTCCGCACCCCTGAAGCATCACCCTGGCAAGCTACCACAGACCCGAAAGCACAAACTCTGCTTGCTTGGTATAGACACCCGGTCCGGAAGGCGTTGCCCGGGATGCCACGCAAACGCACTCAGCAATGAGGGCATGCCTTAGAAGGCTTTGGACTTGGGAATCAGGTTTTACGGCGTCCCTACGTCCTTCGTGCTCCACTGATAGCGTCGTTCAGCGACTGCATAAGGTAGTATCTTGCACCCGAACGACCAACCGGGCGTTTCAAGCATTGGGGTCTGAACCCCAAACTCGAAGTCAAGACACTAAGTGTGTTGGTTGAAACCGTATTCGCCCTAAACCCTTTTCGCCGAAGCCAGTTGATCTGCCTTGGGTGGTTGGCTTGGAGGGCACTCTGATATAGATTCGTGGTGTATCGCTCGAATCAAGGCACCGAGTTTCCCTTTCATGAAGCAACCCATGAATAAACAAGTCCCGATTTTTCCAGGGACCGACGGTTTCGGGATCAGGGCTCTGCAGACAGTTGGTTTACGATGTCGGGCTTTTTCCCTCTCGCATCGCTGAGTACGATGCTCACAAGCGAGGATGGCTTGAGATTATCATGCTTGCATCCAATTCAATGTAACCCTAAACCCTAAACCCTAAACCCTAAGGTGTAGATTTTGAATTCCGCATTTCGAAATCGCGGAATTGAAGTCCACCCTAGCCATAGGCCCCATAGTAGTTCCTTTTGGGGATTTCCTTATAGGATTCTAAATATGAACCCCCAAAAAGGAACTACTATGGGGCCTGTGGGTAGCTGCTCCAGGATTCTGTAAAGATTCGGACAGAGCTCGCAAGTGCAGGAACCCTCTCCCGAACCCCACAGCTGACTCCCAAGTTCAGCCCTAACCTCTAAACCCTGATACCTTAAAACAACCCGATGTAAACTCTATGTAAACCCTAAACTCTAGAACCCTAAAACCCTGAACACTCAAACCTAAACCCAGGGCCTCATCAAAAGCCGTGGCCCCCCCAAAAAAACAAAAGGTGATAACAGGTTCAGACGGCAGGCCGTGGGCAAAGAAAGACGCCGAAGCCTCCAAGTGGCCTGCGTCTACTCGTGGGAAGCTTGATGCGCCCTTTACGTTCCAAGCAGATTGTTCGGGGGTTCTTCAACGGACGATTTTTTAAATAGTCCCATAAAGGATTCCATAGCCTGGAGTTGTTAAATAGTCCTACTAGGTTCCCCAGTAGCCCCTGAATAACAAGGATACCCTTTTTCCTACTATTTGGTTTTAATAAGGGAGCCTAAACAGAAAAAGGGCAAAAGGACCACTGGGGAACCTAGTGGAAAAACTCTTCTTCTACAATGGTTCCAACAGGGTTTAGGGTTTAGGGTTTAGGATTTAGGGTTTAGGTTCCATCAGGGTTCTTCGGGCTTCAAGGCCTCTCAGGGTGCCTGGAGGGATCGAGCTCCGACGGTTCGAAAAATGCCTGCACCTTCGCAAACCCTATATCTATCTATGTATATATATATATATACATACATACATAAATATATATATATATATAGAGAGAGAGAGAGAATACAGGGGCCGTAAGAACTAGAACAAGCTTTCTTCCGGGGTATCTCAGACCATAACTGTATATGGACTACAGCGGGACACTCTTAGCAACTTGTCCGATTCTTTGTTTGAATCTGCACCGTGATCAGTAAGGCTCCAGGGGTCTAACTATTGTGAGATGGAATCTTAAAGCCCCCAAAACCCTAAACCGATCTAGTTGCTTCGACCCCCCCCCTTTCAAAGCATGTAGACGGCTTGGGGAAGCCGTGGGTTCACGCTCACGAAGGCTCTGAGGAGCAGAAACCCCCAGAGTACTAAGGTCCAAGGGCTCAAGTGTTCAGGGTTTGCAGGGTTGAGGGGTTAGGGGGTGTGGGGGTTATCGGGGTTTAGGGGTGTGAAGCCTTCCGCACAATAATGGCCACTGCCTGGACTCAAACCCTAAATGGCCCTAATCTCAACTACCCAAACCCTCAAATCCGAAACCCCAAAGCTAAACCCTGAACCACAAGCCCTCGTCCCAAAACCGACATGTCCCAACCCTCGAACCCAAAGCTCCGAACCCTGGAACCGGGTTTAGGGCTTAGGGAAAACATCTTAAGCAACACCTCCTAATCCGGACGGCAGAGCCCTAAACCCGAAACCTTTCCGAAGCCTCGAACCCTGACCCAAGAATAACCAGACTTCAAACATCCGACCTTTCCCAGTACTCTGGAACAGGTGGACCATGTTCTCGCCTTGCTGGTCTGGTTGTTGCTCGTTGTTGCTGCTCTTCTTTTTCGCAGGGAGGAGCCCGCATAGCAGGGTAGGTTGGGTTCCGGCGCTTTAAACCCTTTTCAGCACGGACTGTTAAAGCCTTTTTTGCATCAGGACTTGTGCAATCGCCTGAACACTGTTAAAGCCTAAACCCTAAACCCCAGTTTGGGTTCAGACGGTTTCAACCCTAAACCCTAGACCCTAGTTTGGGTTCAGACGGTGGCGGGTTTAGGGCTTGGGGGCTAGCTCGGGCAATCCAGGCGAGGGCCAATAAGCCCAACAGCCTGCAAAAGAGAAAAGCACTAGACAACACCGAACTTCCTTTCCATACATTTAGAAAAGTTAGGGACCCTGAACCTTAAATCCTCACTCCGTTGAGGGTTTCGGGGTCTAGTTCATTTGCAGTTTGCAGACTTAACGTAGGAAGAGGAGGCAGCTTTAGAATTAGGTGGTCATAAAGGCGTTCCTCTAAAGCACAAAGCTTTTTTTTTGCAAGACCCTTTTCCCCTCGCCGATTGGGCTTTGTGCTTTGAAGAGCAAGCTTGACCCTCCCCCAACTTAGAAACCTCAAACACTCAAACCCCATAATCTATGAAACCCCAAAAAATTCCATGAAACCCTAAACCCCATCAAGCCTACCTAAGCCCCATGAAACCTAAAACCTATGAAATCCGATGATCCTTCGAAACCCTGAAATCCCATTGAACTACCAAGGTCTGTCATCGAAGTCACTCGTGGCCACGGCGAGGTCGCCCCCTTCGAGTGCAAGCAGAGATTCAACGACCAGCCAGCTGCTGTCGACCTTCCGTTATTGGGGCTTAGGGCTTCAAGGAGACAGTATAGGAGCCTGAATTTAGAAATAGTGTTGTTGGGCCTGATACCGCCAGTGTATAGTACCGAAACCACGTCGTGGTCGTCGCCTTAGCAGTAGTAGTAGCAGTAGTAGTAGCAGGAGTAGTAGTAGCAGTAGTAGTAGTGGTAGTAGTAGCAGTAGCGGGAGTAGTAGTGGTGGTAGTAGTAGTAGTCGTCGTCGTCGTCGTAGTAGTAGTAGTAGTAGTCGTAGTCGTAGTAGTAGTAGTAGTAGTAGTAGTGATAAAAAAGTAGTAGCAGCAGCAGCAGTAGTACTAGTAGTCGTCGTAATGATAATAATAGTGGTAATAGAAGTGGTGGTCGTACCACTGTTGTAGCGGTAGTAGTAATAGTAGTAGTAGCAGTAGCAGTTGTAGCAGCAG